CGTTCTCTCGAACGTTCGGGAATTGTCGGGAGATTACTAGATTTAGGGTAGTCTGGTATATATAAGAGGGTGACAACGTGACGGAATAATGTGTGTAGACAGTGAGTAATTGATCTGCAATCAATAAGTATTATTGAAGTTGAGCACGTTCGTTGTTATAGCGTTTGTTTTAGCACGATTGTTGAAATTAAGTGTATCGTAAAGTTATATTCGGAAAGAATAAACCAGTTTTATTAAGTAAGGACTTGTGTCGATAAAGTTTCGTCGGAACGAATTTACGGGATATCAATTAACAAGCGGAGACGTAACAGTATTTTGGCCAAAATAATTTCCCATTGTGACACCAGATTCTGTAGGGTTGACTTATCTTTAGCAAGGTGTTTTAAATTATCTGATGAAAACTATTCAATGCTCAGGCCAAAGTCCATGCAACAATAACAAATTGCTTTATTCTTCTTTTACCATTTCTGCAAATATGAACACTTGCTTTAGGCCTTCAGTTTAAATGACGCTAACTAACGTAAAACAAGTAAATTTACAGTGCCTTGCCCTTGGAAAGTTTCCACATTCTGTTGCCATCTGAGCTTGCAGTCATGAAACTTTCAAATGGAACTTTATATTTAGTATCTCCACAATCTACTCCAAATTGAGAAAGCTAAAGCAATGCTGATATTATGTAAGTACGTTAGATTTTCAAACGACAAACCAACCGTGAAGATCAAGGAGCTTTCCAAACAAGTCCGGAATAAATTGGTAAAGAAGCACAGACCAGGAGAAGGTTACATGAAAATGTTAAAGTCGTTGATTATCCCTGTGAGTATGATAAATTCCAGCATTAAGAAGTGGATTGTTCTTCATACCACCCAGTCGCTACCCATATCAGGCTGCTCTTTCACATTAAGCAGCCAGGCAAACATAAAACTAGTTAGAGATGCCACTGTGAAGCCAACAGTCACTTTGAAAAACTTGCAAAGTTCCATGTGTGAGATTGGAGTCAATGCTCATGTACCGACAATATCCCAGTCTCTAAACAAAGCTGGCTAGTAGCAAGAAAAAAGCCATTACTGTAAACAAATCATCTTAAATCTCGTATGGAGTTTGCGATAAAGCATGTAAATTATACTGCAGACATGTAGCAGAAGGTTTTGTGGTCAGACGAGATCAAAATTGAGTTTCTCGACCATCCCTTCCTTAATTCGGTCATCCATGACCTTCTCCATCTCTTGTCGCTTTGCAGGAGCTATTCTCCTCGGAGGGATCTTTATT